AACAGCAGGTCCATAGCACTGTGGTTGACTCTTAACTGCTCTCGTAAATGACCTAGCGAGCTACTCAACTTCAAGGGCAATTAGCAACTTCCCAATGATACCCTCACCTCATCAAAGAACATAAAAAAAAGATTGTTAACATATCTGAACAAACCAAGGAACAAAGAATTAAATTGTAAGGACACGTGGCATAAATTTCGCTTCTGGTTCAAGTTTAGAACATTGAAAGATGACTTAAGCAAGGCTGGCAGGGGGTGTCAAATTAAAATTCCTGACCAAGATCAGGAGATTTATGTCAGACCATAAAGCCATTAGAAATAGGAACAGCAGGAGACCATTTGGCCCCTCGAGCCTGCTCGGCCATTCAATAGGACCATGATGCTTGTCATGTCCAGTTTCCTGCCCTTTCTCTATTATCCCTGATTCTCCTACTGATCAAGAATCTTTCTCAGCCTTAAATATACACACAAGCTCTGCCTGCGCAGCTATCTGTGACAAGGAGTTCCAAAGATTCAAACTTCTGAGGAAAGAAATTTCTCCTCATCACAGTCATAAATTGGTTCCCCTTTATTATGAGACTGTACCCTCTGGCCTGAGACTCTCCCATGAAGGGAAACATCCTCTCAGCATTTACCCTATCAAGCCCCTTAAGAATCCTATATGTTTCAATGAGATCACCTCTCATTCTTCTAAACTCCAATAAGTAGAGTCCCCAATTGTGTAACCTTTTCTCCATACCTAGTGAACTTTCTCTGAATTGCCTCCAATGAAATGATATCTTTCCTTAAATAAGGGGACCAAAATTACTCACACTACTCCAGATGTAGTCTCACCTTGTACAGTTGCAGCAATATTTCCCTACTCTTATACAGCTACTCTAACACTCTTGAAATAAGGACCAACATTCCTGTTGGATGACAACATCAAGGAAAATGGAGGCAAATAGCGCTGATGTATTGATCAGCCATGATCTAATTGAATGGTGGGATAAGGTCAAGAAATTGAATGGCCTATTCTTATTCCCAGGTTCATAAAAGAAGAGAACAATGCTGGCCCTTTGTTTTAAACTGCAATTTTCTTTCAACTTCAAATACAACTTCTATTAATATTTGCTTTACAATTCCTGTCATATTTCCCTCGTGGTTAGAGGTACAATACATTGTTGTCACCAAAATTAATACACGCTAATTGTCTTTTCAAATAGTTTCCTCAGATACCTGACTACAGCAGGTCAATTTGTAGAGCATTTGAAGAGAAATCAGACAAAGGCTAACCTTCTGGAAGTGTTTTAATCAGAGGACCTCCAGAGGCTTGTGAGCCCCACTTTGAGAGACAGGCATTATTGAAGTAGGTAGGGTCCTTGAAGATGCCTCAATATGTAAGATGAAATTAATTAGTCAGAGCTGGAGAAGCAGTAGGCCATTGGGATTGGAGGAGAAAGCCCGCCCGGCAGAATTTTGGGTCCAAAGGTGCTGCCTTTCTTGGTCATGTTCTCCTCTTTGAACTCTCTAATGCTTTCCCTCAGCCTACCACAGGGAGGATACATCCAGGGAAGGGTGTCAGAAAATAAGAACATAAGAACATAAGAACTAGGAGCAGGAGTAGGCCATCTGGCCCCTCGAGCCTGCCCCGCCATTTAATAAGATCATGGCTGATCTTTGAGACTCAGCTCCACTTACCCGCCCACTCACCATAACCCTTAATTCCTTTGCTGTTCAAAAATTTATCTTGCCTTGGCTTAAAAACATTCAGTGAGGTAGCTTCAACCGCTTCACTGGGCAGGGAATTCCACAGATTCACAACCCTTTGGGTGAAGAAGTTCCTCCTGACCTCAGTCCTATATCTGCTTCCCTTTATTTTGAGGCGATGCCCTCTAGTCCTATCAAATGCCCTAATGTCAGTGAGTTCCAAAAGTGACCCATGTGACCAAGGTCTCTGGTGGCAGGAGCGCACTGGGAGCTGTCCCACAGCATTGTACTCTTAGTTGGTTGCACCCCCCTCAAAATCAATCACCAATAGGCCATGAAAGTTCAGCTCCAGGTACTCTAGATGTTAACAGATATTTAAATAGATGTTATCAGTAACAGCACACAATGTTGGCACTAGAATAGAATAGAAACAAAATAGAAATTTATTGTCATGTGTACTTTTACATGAAAAATACAGTGAAAAGTTTTATAAGTTGCCTTTCCAAGTCGCCTATGTTAATGACAGAAGTCATAATTAATAATAAAATAATAAAGAAAGTAAAATTAAGACAAAGTTCATCATAGTTTCATTAACAGCCCCTTGCTAGGGAAAGCCAATTAAGGAAAAATGGAATACTCAGAACACATAGCTGAGTTGAGACCGCCATTTCTTGATGAGAATTCCATGCGGGCCGATGGAATATTGGGTCGAAAGTCTCCACTGAAGAAGACCACCATGCTAGGCCGCTGGAATAATGGGCCGGAAGCCAACGTCGACGATGATCTCCACACAGGGACAAGACTTCCATGCTGGGACAAGGTTTCCATGCTGGGACAAGGCCTCCACGCTGGGACAAGGCCTCCATGTTGGGACAAAACTGTCACACAGGGACAAGACCTCCACGCCAGGAGACCGCCATGCCAAGCTGAGACCTCCACGCCAAGCTGTTGGCAGCTGCCTCATCACTAGGCTAGGAGAAGCCTTCTGCTGACGCTGTTAAAATATAAGATGGATCTTGATAATAACTACAATAACTCTCTTTGCCGGCTTGCAGATTTAGAGGGACAGTCCGAACTCCATCTCCCTCATCGCAAACCAGTGCAAACCACTAACACCTGGCACACCATAAGACTACAGGAAATTGGAACAGAAGTAGACTATTCAGCCCCTCAAGCCTGCTCCGGCATTCACCATATCATAGCTGATCAGGCATTTCCTACATCCACTTTCCTGCTTTTTTCCTGTAACTCTTGATTCCCCAGCTGTTCAAGTCTCTATCTATGTCAGTCTTAAATATAGACAAGGAACCCACCCCACACCTTTCTGTGGCAAGGACTTACAAATACTTGCAATCTTCTGAGAGAAAAATTCCTCCTTATCTCAGTCTTAAATTAGCAGACCTTTATTCGGAGATATGTCCTCTGGTCCTAGTCTCTACCATGAGGGGAGACATCCTCTCACTGTTTACCTTGTCAAGCGCCCTAAGTATCCTACATATTTCAATGAGATCACCTCTCATTCTTCTGAATTCCAGTGAGTACAGTCCCAATCTGTTTAGTCTTTGTTGATGAGACAATCCCTCCATACCGGACATCATTCTAGTTAACCTTCTTGAACCGCCTCCAATAAAATAATATCTTAAATAAAATTACTAAAACTGCTCACAGTACACAATTAGAGTTTCTTACTCAATGATTCGTTTTAAAAGGGATTTATAACCAGGTACAGTATTAAAGTAGTTATGGCACTGTACTTGCACCTCAGTAGTCATGAATGAAAATTCTCAGAACAGCAACTTCTGAGAATGTTAATTTGCGAGACCACAAAAGTAGCTACAGAAGTTGCTAGATTGTCGCAGAAACCCAACTGAGTGTCTGATGAATTCGGTATCCCTTGCCTTATGTGGTCTGTGCAACCCTCCAATCCTGCATCACATGATGCTCACAACAACCAGCATTTGTAGCATCTTTAATTTAGTACTGCTTTAAAACTGAGTCTTGGAAGCAATCTCCAGCAGTAGAAAATAGTGGTTTCCCACTTCTATTCACATGTCTAGAATAGTGTTGTCCAGTAGAAATCACTGACTTGTCATCAGTGTGGTGATACTGTTTTAGCCACATAAATTGCTTTCAAAAGAAAACACCTTCTTGACAATATTGGCAAATGATTATATTTACTTAACTATTTGGTAAGGAAGGAAATAAAGAACTATGAATAAGAAAAACACTCGCCCCTTTTTATTTCCCTTTCATCATTTTACATAAATCAGTTAGTTCACATGCCTTACACGCGCTGTCACAATGAATATTGCGATCACATAACCAATGTTACTCATTTTTTATTTAGTCATCAGAAACGCCATTTGCCATTTCTGGATTTGTAATTAACCACATGTGGTCAGTGACCAACAAATGAAATAATGCTGCCCAAGAACAGTGAGTGAAAAGAACTGCAATATAGACAGGCAATGTGACAGCTACTGAAATGAGTAAGAAAACACTTAACATAACGCAGTACTAGCTAAACAGCACTGAAAATAGAATTAATCTCACTGCGTGTATCTGAACAAACTGCAGAAAAAATGAAACACTTACAAACAAGGAAGAAACAAAGAAAAAATATAAAACCAAATCTTTCTCTCCGTCTTTTGGTTAGCCTGAAACTCTTGAATTTAAGAGGTAAAACTCATTCATTTTGTCTAAAACACAAAACAAGCACATTTTCACAAGCTTCAGTCAGGTAGCACTGGCAACCTGTGGGTTAGATGAAACAAACCTCTCTGTTTGACACAGCACCTTAAAGATTATGATATAATGGATATTACAATGTTTAATAAAAACAATTACCCTTCAAAGAGCTCATTGAATGCTTTAAGTATAAAGTCTGGCTGTTCATTTTTGTAAGGTAAAATAAGTATTTCATTGAGTGAATAAAGGAAACTGAAGATTGTAAAATGGTTGCAAATGTCAAAATAACCAACAAACCGCTGGGTCAACATGAAGCAATCCTTTCTGCAATATGTAGCTTTTCAATTTTGTGGCTGCTTATCTTTCACTGTAACAGCAATTCCCCAACTCTGTCCTTGCAAACAAAAGTGTGTTATCTTTTACGCAGTTTGCTTTGTGTAAACCCATTATTCGTTGGACACAATGTGACTTATAATGGGATAGATAAGAACTTGTGTTTACACTCCAAACATTTACTGTCTACTACTGTGACTTTGAGAGTGAATTACATGACAACATAAAACAATAGCTCTCATTATAGGTTAGCAGTTGATGAACACTGCTCTACTTCACTGTCAAGTTTACCTGAGATTGTAGCTGCCTGCTGTGCACTATCTGTAGTTAAAGACAACCGACCTCCTTTGCTTAGTCTGTCACACAGTAGGGTAATATGTTTTTTTAATCTGTTGGTATCTTTCGGCATACTCAGTTGGCTTGTCAAGCTCAGCGTCTGGTCCCTGGAGCTTTTTGACAGACAGGTCCTCAGTAAATGAGTAACTGCTGCATCCACACATTCCTCCCAACCCTGCCAGAGTCAAAAGGTGAGAACTATGTTAGTAATGATTGATAATGTTGAAAATTAATAGACAACCAATAGCAATTTAAAACCTTTAAACTATTCACAGCAGAAAAGCCATTTATTTTAGTCTATAAAACATTGGATTCCAAGTACTGTTCCCTGAAAGTAGCCTACTCTAAGTTCCATTAGGTGACCTTTTAAGATGATCCAAAAATGATTGTCCTGGCAAGGAATTGGGACATTAATCTCCATAAAATCAAATCATTTTAGCACAAGAAAATCTGTTGCAGATTTCTAATATGCCAGCTGTGACTAACATAGGAACATTGAAATAAATAAGCAAAGGATCCTCTGGCTGCTCCATCATTCATCTATGAGATGAATCTTCTACGTCAATGTCATTTTCTGCACTATACCTATATGTCCTTATACACCTATAAGGAGCCTGATGTCATTAAATCTAGAAAACTATTGATCTCTGTCTTAAAAATGTTCAATTACTGAGCATGTACAGGACTCTGGGTAGAGAATTCCAAAGATTTGGCATCCTCTGAGTGAAGGAATCCCTCCTTGGCTCAGTTGTAAATCGTTTGTCCCTTATTCTGAGACGATATTTTCTGGTTCTAGATACCTCACACACTGTTCCTATCAGGGAAAACATGCTTCTTGCAGCTACCTGTTAAGCCCTGTAAAAACTTTTTATGTTTCAATTAGATTATCTTCCATTCTTCCAATAAAGGCAATGCTGTCATTCCATGCTGGAATTCCCTACTTCGACCTTTCTGTTTATGTCATATTTCAAACCTACTTCTTTTGGTGACCTGTTTAAGAGTCATAGGGATGGGATCAGATTTCTTTTCATAATCCTTCTGTTGAGCATTTGAGACATTTCACCATGTTAAAGGTGCTGTAGAATTGCAAGTTATTTAAAGAGACATTTCTTAGTCAACTTATCACAGTGAATAAAATATATTTAGAACAAAGAACAAAGAATAAAGAAAATTACAGCACAGGAACAGGACCTTCGGCCCTCCAAGCCTGCGCCGATCCAGATCCTCTATCTAAATCTCTCGCCTATTTTCCAAGGATCTGTATCCCTCTGCTCCCTGCCCATTCATGTATCTGTCAAGATACATACTAAATGACGCTATCGTGCCCGCCTCTACCACCTCTGCTGGCAACGCATTCCAGGCACCCACCACCCTCTGCGTAAAGAACTTGCCACGCATATCTCCCTTAAACTTTTCCCCTCTCACCTTGAAATCGTGACCCCTAGTAACTGAGTCCTCCACTCTGGGAAAAAGCTTCTTGTTATCCACCCTGTCTATACCTCTCATGATTTTGTAGACCTTAATCAGGTCCCCCCTCAACCTCCGTTTTTCTAATGTAAATAATCCTAATCTACTCAACCTCTCTTCATAGCTAGCGCCCTCCATGCCAGGCAACATCCTGGTGAACCTCCTCTGCACCCTCTCCAAAGCATCCATATCCTTTTGGTAATGTGGCGACCAGAACTGTACGCAGTATTCCAAATGTGGTCGAACCAAAGTTCTATACAACTGTAACATGACCTGCCAACTCTTGTACTCAATACCCCATCCAATGAATGAAAGCATGCCGTATGCCTTCTTGACCACTCTATCGACCTGCATTGCCACCTTCAGGGTACAATGGACCTGAACACCCAGATCTCTCTGTGCATCAATTTTCCCCAGGGCTTTTCCATTTACCGCATAGTTCGCTCTTAAATTGGATCTTCCAAAATGCATCACCTTGCATTTGCCTGGATTGAACTCCATCTGCCATTTCTCCACCCAACTCTCCAATCTATGTATATTCTGCTGCATTCTCTGACAGTTCCTTCACTATCTGCTACTCCACCAATCTTAGTGTCATCTGCCAACTTGCTAATCAGACCATCTATACCTTCCTCCCGATCATTTATGTATATCACAAACAACAGGGGTCCCAACACAGATCCCTGTGGAACATCACTGGCCACAGTTCTCCATTTTGAGAAACTCACTTCCAATACAACTCTCTGTCTCCTGTTGCCCAGCCAGTTCTCTATCCATCTAGCTAGTACACACTGGACCTCATGCGACTTCACTTTCTCCATCAGCCGACCATGGGCAACCTTATCAAACGCCTTACTGAAGTCCATGTATATGACATCTACAGCCCTTCCCTCATCTATCAACTTTGTCACTTCTCAAAGAATTCTGTCAAGTTGGTAAGACATGACCTTCCCTGCACAAAACCATGCTGCCTATCAATAATAAGCCCATTTTCTTCCAAATGTAAATAGATCCTATCCCTCAGTATCTTCTCCAGCAGCTTCCCCACCGCTGATGTCAGGCTCACCGGTCTATAATTACCTGGATTATCCTTGCTACCCTTCTTAAACAAGGGGACAACATTAACAATTCTCCAGTCCTCCGGGACCTCACCCGTGCTCAAGGATGCTGCAAAGATATCTGTTAAGACCCCAGCTATTTCCTCTCACGCTTCCCTCAGTAACCTGGGATAGATCCCATCCGGCCCTGGGGACTTGTCCACCCTAATGCCTTTTAGAATACCCAACACTCCCCCCCTCCTTATGCTGACTTGACCTATAGTAATCAAACATCTATCCCTAACCTCAACATCTGTCATGTCCCTCTCCTCAGTGAATACTGACGCAAAGTACTCATTAAGAATCTCACTCATTTTCTCTGACTCCTCGCATAAACTTCCCTCCTTTGTCCTTGAGTGGGCCAACCCTTCCTGTAGTTACCCTCTTGCTCCTTATGTATGAATAAAAGGCTTTGGGATTTTCCTTAACCCTGTTTGCTAAAGATATTTCATGACCCCTTTTAGCCCTCTTAATTCCTCGTTTCAGATTGGTCCTACTTTCTCGATATTCTTCCAAAGCTTCATCTGTTTTCAGACGCCTAGACCTTATGTATGCTTCCTTTATCCTCTTTGCTAGTCTCACAATTTCACCTGTCATCCATGGTTCCCTAATCTTGCCCTTTCTATCCCTCATTTTCACAGGGACATATCTGTCCTGCACTCTAATCAACTTTTGTTTAAAAGCCTCCCACATATCAAATGTGGATTTACCCTCAAACAGCTGCTCCCAATCCACATTCCCAAGCTCCTGCCGTATTTTGCTATAGATGGCCTACCCCCAATTCAGCACTCTTCCTTTAGGACCACTCTCATCTTTGTCCATCAGTATTCTAAAACTTACAGAATTGTGATCACTATTCCCAAAAAAACTTCAACCACCTGGCCCGGCTCATTCCCCAACACCAGGTCCAGTATGGCCCCTTCCCGAGTTGGACTATTTACATACTGCTCTAGCAAACCCTCCTGGATGCTCCTTACAAATTCTGCTCCATCTAAACCCCTAACTCTAAGTGAATCCCAGTCAATGTTGGGAAAATTAAAATTTCCCATCACCACCACCCTGTTGCTCCTACATCTTTCCATAATCTGTCTACATATTTGTGCCTCTATCTCACGTTCGCTATTGGGAGGCCTGTCGTACAGCCCCAACATTGTTACCGCACCCTTCCTATTTCTGAGCTGTGCCCATATTGCCTCACTGCTCGAGTCCTCCATAGTGCCCTCCTTCAGCACAGCTGTGATATCCTCTTTGACCAGTAATGCAACTCCTCCACCCCTTTTACCTCCCTCTCTATCCCACCTGAAGCATCTATATCCTGGGATATTTAGTTGCCAATCTAGCCCTTCCCTCAACCAAGTCTCAGTAATAGCAATAACATCCCAGGTACTAATCCAAGCCCTAAGTTCATTTATCTTACTTACTACACTTCTCGCATTAAAACAAATGCACATCAGACCACCTGTCCCTTTGCGTTCATCATCTGGCCATTTATTTATGCATTGTCATTCACAACAAATCTCAATGTAATTATATTTACACAATATGAAGTAATTCTGAAGTGTAGTCACTGTAGTCAATGTAGGAAGTGTTGCTTAAAATTTGTACATAGCAAATTTTCACAAACAGCAATGTGTAATGATCATTATTTTTATAATGATTGAGGGACAAATATTGGCCAAGACACCAAGGAAAAATCCCCTTCTCTTTTTGGAAATAATGCCTTGGGATCTTTCATATCCACCTGAAAAGATGGGGCCTTGTAGCGTGCACTCCCTCTGACCTAAGTTGCAGTGGCAGCCTTGAATTTTGAGTTCAAGTCATAGAGTCATAAGTCCTGGAGTGGAATCTTTTGATTCAGATGTCAGAGTGATACTAACAAAGTCATGAGAGTGACTGGAATACAGTGTGGTAATCCAGTATTCTTAAAAGGATTCAAGTGTGGAGCTCTGCCTCATTCACAACTCACTGTCTTATGTTGATTCACTATTACTGTATATGCCCAAATGCACTATTCCTAAATGGTGTCAATACCAATAAAACATTAATTTACATTCATGTAGCAATATATGGCTTCATACAGGTAGTTTAGAATAATGGACTGCTTCGTTCCCTGAAGTAAGTAACTGTCAGTATGTAGACAACCACTTTTCTTCTGAACACAAGGTCCCTTAAACAGCAATAAAGTGCATGGTGTTAGATTTGGTGGTGTTGGTCAAATAAGGAATACTGGTCAGCCATGCCAGTTTGGTTTAGTAATAGCACTCTTGACTGAATCAAAAGGGTTGTGGGGTCAATCCCCACTGCACAAATTGAGCATATAATCCATAATCAGAGCAGAAATGCTGATCCAAAAAATTACCATGGAGACTACTCAAAGAAAAGCAAAAGAATTAGCCAGGTCAGCATTCATCCCTCAAACAACACTACTAAAACTTATTATTTGGTAACACTTGGATGGAGCCTTTTTTTAACACAGCTGCTACTTTTGCCTACTTTACAACAGAGATTACAATTCAAAAGAACACAATTTGCTGTGATATAACATCTTAAGAGAAGGACAGTAGCTCTGACTATATAGTGAAATTAAGAGAACAGCCAACTCGGTGACTGG